GTCGAAGCAATTTCTTACATGATATTAGAGCTAAAATATAAAAAGGGCCGCCTCAACAAAGACATGTCGTCAGGCGAGCTCGACTTATCAAGACACCAGAGTAAATACGTTTCTCAAATAATTTGTATAGGAGCTGCGATACGACTGTTTAAACCAACACAGAGTTTTAACTGCATTCCAATAAAAAAATCACGAATGGTTAGCAAGATTTGTACATATAACTAAAACGAAATATAGAACACTAGCTTTCGCCACCGACTCTGTCAGTGTGTTCTTTAAAAAGAAAAAGTGAGTAGCCTATATGTACTTTCAGACTATGTCAAATTTCATCGAAATCCTTTCAGTCGTTAAGGTTACAAACTCTTTTTTTTTATAACATAAGGTGGCAAACGAGCAAGCGACCACCTGAAACCGAGAAAATGGCGAAGCAACCGCTGCCTATAGACATCCGCAATTGCAGATGCGTTGCCTAACCTTATACGACGGAGGAGGAGACGCACATGAAGTGGATATTTCCCCTTTCTATGCATCTCCTCCACCGTCAAATCCACTTCCTCTTCCCAATCTCTCCTTACAAGAAAAGCTGGTAAAGAGAAAGGGACTTAAATTACTCCTCCGGCACCACACTCATCATACGAAACATGGAAATGCTTCCATTTCACGCCTGTCTTATGTTTTGTCGTGGTATTACCGGGCGTGCCGGCCCTGCAGTGCTAAGATGTTAAAGCGGGCACTACCACTGTTAACTCTAACAAACATACATCCATCCATCCATTTATATAAACTTTCGCATTTATAACATAAGTAAGATTTTACATATGTTTATACGTGTGAATTTCAGGTAGACATACTTTGAAGGTTTATTAATAAAGTTTTGGTATTTAACTTAAAGGCCTTCTGCGTCTTGTCCCAAATTTTCGTAATGGTAAAGTCAAGTAAAGTGCGGGTTTAAAGTTATAAAAGGCATTTAGTCAAGAACTTATGCAGACAATGTGCTTATTTAAACTTATTAGCTGTTTACATTTCAATAATGGAAGAGAACATTAAAAAAATAATAGTATCTAAGTTGTTTTTATCTTAAATATGACTGTAACTCGATACATAAGTCTAATTTGTGTTTTTCAGAATATTAAAAACCTCTACATAATCGATCAGATAATTGTCCGCGCTTAATTCATAAAAAAAGCATTTTGAATAAAACTTTCTTTAATAAAAAGCCCTAGTCTTACGATACGCTTTAGGCTATATGTTTTCATGTTAATAAACTTATTAGATAAGTAAATTGGATAAAAAGATCCATGTGCGAAAGGGACCATAAACTACAAGCTGCCAACATCAAGGAAGCAAGGTTGCCAAAGTTTGTCATATCATGTCATTTTGACATTTGCTATTGACAATTTGACAAATGTAAACAATAATATAAAATTTTCATAATTTCATGCCGATGAAGCCGCATGAAAACAGTTAGTAATAAATGAAGGCACTCCAGTTTTATTTATAGGTTTATCGTGTGTATAAAAAGATCGTAACGAAATGCACCATTGAATAAAACGTCTCAAGAAATGCAAAACATTTTCTGCAATGAAAGTTAATCGTTTTAACTTAGTTTCCAGGTCGTTTAACGTAGTCTGGATGCCTTAAAGTAATTTAGAATACTCGATAGACTATTTCCTGTACCAGATGCTTAAGAATTCTTTACTTAAGTATGCTACTTAGATGCATGCTTGATTAAATTTCTTTTCTGCGATGTGAAATGTAAAAGTTGGAAAATAGGACTATTGTCCAGCAGTGGCAGATAAAGGCTGATGATAATGATGTGACAAACTTGTCTAGCTATAACTTGAAACATAACCGAAAACTGTTACTTTTTGTAACATTCATTTAACATTTCTTTTAACTGGGTACGCAGTGCACCCGCCGAGACGAGCACGGCGAAACACTCTATTCTCGAAACGGTCCGGACCACTTTTATTTCAATAGACACTAACTAAAATGACTGCGTATTACATGACATTTAATATACTTTTGTAGGGGAAGTGAGACTCGGCAGGTTTTTATATATTTTGTTAATGTTTTACTAGACACGACATTTTGTGTAAAATTTGTTCTCCGTCAATGAAAATATCAGATTGCAGGTAGTAATTGTAACTATCTAATATCAATACTGGTATTTACATTATTCTTTACCGTTTACCTGTCAACTTAACGTTAAGTTACCACTATTCCAGATAACTTACCTAAAACAAGGTAAGACTTAATATTTTCAAGTTAAAAATCATATTTATTGTACATCTGAGCGGTTAACACATTATTTTATTGGGAGAACTATGATTAAATTATAACCAATCGATTTTAAACCTTCTTCCTTTAATCATAAGGTATACAATTTATTACGAAACAAATTCTCATTTGTGCAAAATAATAGAATTGTACAGCGAAAGGCGACCTTGTCCCGTCTTGCGTTGTCCGCCGAGTTTATAATTAGCACTAACACTTAACATATATAAACACTTTTATTAGGTCATTGGCTAGGACATCTACAATGCACTGCTTTATGTACTACTAGCTTTAACCCGCGACTCCATCTGTGCTATATAAAAATATAGTAACTAACCATATGCTCTTCCGGACTATGTGTGCCAAATTTCATCTAGATCCGTTAAGCTGGCCTGTGGATACTTCCTTAAGCATCTATCCATCAATCTAAATGTTATAACATTAGTTATATATATATATATTATAAGATAGTATTGATTACATTTTATTAATAAATCTTTATTTCAATGTGTAATAATTACTCTAAAGACGTTGAACATATTATGATAAATTTACATCGTCAGTGGTGTTCAGTGCAAAATCCAACGTCTTTTGCTGATATGATGTTCGTATACATCCAAAGAGGTGACATACTGGCCATCAAGACTTTTGCTTATTTGATTATTATATCTGTTTTATAGTTTATAGATTCTGTTAGCGCTTACCTTTTTCTGTGGAATTTTAACTGGCTTCTGCAAATACGCCGAAGTGTACAAAATTGTATGGACAGGCGCTTCTGTTGGTATCCCCATTGACGTCATATTGATCAAATCAAATAAAAACTGACCAATATAGATATTAAATAGTCAGTAAATCAATTCACACTAAAACAGTCAAGTTCCTGGTATCTGTTTATGTTCTATCTATTTATATTTTAAAACATAAAACATCAGAACAACTCAAGAACACAAGGATTTAGATCCTTCAGAAGTGACGATATGCGCGAACGCAGCATTTTACGTCGTTTACCGCTAGTTGATATATCCGAGAATCATACGACGTGACTTTGTAAACACGTACGACGTATTATTCACCTTAAAGGTAATAAATACTATAAGTGTATGTAGACAAGAAGAAAAGATCTATGGACTATGGCCACTTTCCTATTGTGGTGAATTCTAGTCTAAACAATAAAAAAAATGTATATGCGATTAAATAGTTCCACGGTCTTAAAATTAGTAAATATCAGACATCATTTTTAAGGGTATGTCGTGATAAATTGTAATATATATGAGCTCTAAAATATGTCGTAAAAGTCTCCTAAATTGCAAATATTCAGAATTCCGAATACACTCGCGTTTGCCCATTGTTCAGCTTTCCTAAAACAATGCGCCTAGTCATCTCGTACAATAGAACCAGTTTAATATAGCATCATGTTTTGTACCTTCGTAGATATCGCTTTGTATGAACTAGCTTGAACCAATATATTTAACCATCTTTGTTTTCTGTATTTATAAATTCGTTACCAATAAGTTTATATTCTGTTCTTCTACTTCTTTGCTCTTGTCTCCTTCTAGAATAAATGGTTTATTAGAAAAATTGCGAAATATTAAAAAACCTTAAGAGACATTAGGGATAACCAGTCGTGAAACTCACAAGTCAAAATTTTCGTTAAACAATTTAAAATAAAAATGTAACGAACAAAGCGTATCTCGTAAAATGCTTAAAATATGTAATTACCTTTTCCAACAATGAATGGCGGACCCTTTTCATTTGGAAACAGCGATAAACAAACGGAACGAAAAACCTTAATCGTTTAAAAATTTAAACAGGCCGCTTTAACAAAGTCATGTCGTAGTGTACGCGGGCTCAAGTTATCATGTCCCGAGTAAATAAGAGGTTCATAATCAAACAATTTGTGTAATCAGGAGCGGTTAGGAGTACCGGCGAGCTCGAAATTTGAAAACAATTCATATTTTTCTTTTTAAACTTTTAAAATTGCTGAATCCATAATTGATTGTTTTAAGAAACTATTTTTTTTTTGTTTTCTTGCCATTGTTTTAACTTTTATGCCTGAAACTCAATCATCTATCCTCTAAACAATATAAATAAATAAATAAATTATTACTGTTAAGATTACAATTAATAATACATGCCTAGATGCTAAATGTCCTAATCAAATACAATTACAATTTTCATTTGAATTATCAGCAACTGGTTGTTTATGCGAAAAGCTTGTCTATTAACAAAGGCTTCCTTTAAACATTTCCATGCATTTTTTTCTTTTGCTAAACGGTGCTAAACTAAAAACTAAAGATTTATTATTGTTTTATTAGTAATTTAGACGAGAAGTAAAACATTGATGAAATTGAAACTCTTCGGTGGTATTGGGTATAAAATATCTGAACTTTGTAAAAGTAATTACTGGAGACTAAAAACCGGCACGGCTTTCATTGACAACTTGGAGCATCAGCAGATCTGCTTCTTTAAAAGGGAAAAAACACGGTTCTTGGTTTTAAGTTTTACTAAGAACCGTGTTTTGTTTTGTCTGGTTTCTAATTACGTTTTTTTAAATTATTTTTTGTTTATGATTAAAAATTGTATTTCATTTGAATTATTATGTTATTATACATTTGTTGCCGACGGTACTGTTTAAATACGAACGTTGAAGTTGACGTATTATTTGCTAATGTTGATACTAGTCGGGTTTCAATAAATACTCCACATGTTTTGATTGCGATTGCTTCGCTCAGTGACAAATGTTCAAGCGGTAACAATAACAATTATTTCTGTCCCAAAGTGTCGTGTCTGTACGAAAAGTACATATCGAGTAAAACAGTCTGTGATGCCAAGGATGATCGAAATAAAGGTATGTGCACATAAAATACAATAAATTAACCACAATATCTTACTAACAGCTAAACCCGTCTTGGTCCACGAGAAAATAAAAAAAGGAAAACTTTTTCTAGACTAAAATATAGCCTATCTTGTTCAGTGACAAGCTATTCGCGTGTGGCTTTTTCCACATGAAATTATATATTTTTTTTATTTTTTACGTTTGTCAAATTGTCAATTGCAAATGTCAAACTGACATGACATGATGACAAACCGTGGCAACATTACTCCCTTGATGTTAGCAGCTTTAGTTTATATGCCCTTTCACACATTAAGGTTTATTCCAATTTATTTACTCCTTAGTTTAATGGCGTGAAATTATATAGCCTAAAGCGTGCCTTAGTGTAGGATTTTCTTATTAAAAAAAGAATTATTTAAAAATATGCTGTAATTGCTGACATCTTAGGCAACAAAGAAGTATGTGTTTACGCTTTATTATATTAGTATAGAAATGTAGATAATGTAACCCCACCAGTGAAAGAATTTTTAACATCGTTTCAGTAGTTTCGTACTATTCAATACTAACAATCAATTCTCTCCCATTATAATAATAGTATAGACTAACTAGTCTGTTAATCTAAGATGTAATCTTTGGTATTGAAAATTGATGGATGGATCTTAATAATCTGCATTTCTTTTAGATCCTAGACATATATCTGTGATTTCACCATTCATTTAAAATAAACTGACGAATATAAAAAAATACTCTACTGACTGTAGTGGGTGTTTCTATTCTAATAATACGCAGAGCAAGGTAACATAAAAAGATTTACACTCCTGTCAATCACTCTTACGCAAACTGACGTTTGACTGAGAAATCTTGATTTACTTCCTACCTTAAATAAACACATCCACACGTCATTCCCATTATAACTTAAACAAGTCACGCAATAAGCTATGAAAGATTGATTTATTACGGTCATACTTGTCCTAAAACAGCATCATCATTGCTCTGTTAAAGTCAGAATTTGTAACATCCTGTATCACGTTACATCATGTAACTTGTAACAGATTTAATACAAACGAGTATTGTTACGTGGAATTTTACAAACTTAACTAGCTGTTCCCGTGCTACATCCGCATATGAAAGTTTAATTTTATTGTTTACATTTGTCAAATTGTCAATAGCAAATGTCAAAATGACCTGACAGTACAAACCTTGCTTCCTTGATGTTGGCAGCAACGTATGGTCTCTTTCCCACATTGGGGTTTTTATCCAAAATATTTACCCCTTAAGTTTAATGGCGTGAAAATATATAGCCTAAAGCGTGACGTAAGTGTAGGGCTTTTTATTAAAAAAATAATTATTCGAAAATATGATGTAATTGCTGACATCTTAGGCAACAAAGAAGTGTGTTTACGCTTTATTATAGTAGTATAGAGTATAGATATTTGGAATTTAATATTTAATTGTATACGAGCATCAATTAATCGACTTAAATAGACAACTTCGACACTCGCCTAAGGGTTTCAAGAATTACTTGTCAAAGGAACAAGGCAAAACTTTACCAAGTATCCTTGTGAAAGCTAACAAAGTATCGTTAGGAGCAAGTAATTGGTCCTTCGAAACGTTACTGTCGTCAGTTCTGAGTTTTCTACTTGAGATAAAAGATTGCGATATCTTTTCGTCTTTTTGTTAACTTCTGTTTTTAAAAGCATTACGATACTAAATTTTGACGAGACGCTTCTTATAAAGCTAGCACGTACCACCTTTCGACTGCTACGTTACTTTCTTCAGGTGAGATCGTGGTCAATCGCAGGCTTAACGTATATAAAAAAAATTAGCATACGACAAAGATGCTAGTATTAAGAGTCAGGGACATTGGTTGTTAATTGTCATTCGGCCGAATATTGAAACGAGTCTAACATTTCGTGTATGCGCATACTCAGACGTCAAAATTTTAATGAAATTCATAGTTTATGCATGGCCTTATTATTCAAGACTGTTACAAGGTAAAAAGGTCAAATTTTAAACAATAAAATTCAATTAAGAAGCAAGAAAAAATTTACACACACTATGTGCTGTTCACAGGTTACTGTTAGGTGGCGCCAGTGGTGACTTAGTCGAACATACTACACATATCAGTAACATAATTATCTAAGCATCAGTTGCTAAGGCATCAAGTGTCTATGCGTCAGATGTGATACGTTTCTAGTCTCTAGGTAAGTTGAAACTGTTGCTAAGTTGTTTGTGGCCACAGAACTAACGATCTTTTAGACGTTATACAGAAATTAGTCAACCAATTGTCAATTAGAAAAGTAATAAACAGCCTCAATGGGTATTATCTAGGGAAATTCCAAGAAATACAAATCGAAAAATGTAATCGTATATAGGTAAAAGATTTAACTTTTTGGGCTACATTCTATTAAAGGAATAGAAATACAAACTTATACATAAAAATATGCTTATAAACCCTGGAAACATTCTCAGTCATTCGTGAAAACATTATCTTCAGTAATATAGGGTAACTGTTTCAGTCGAATGTTAATTATAAAAAGTGCTAAGCGTTTTAACCGCGTACTTCATGGCCACACCTGAGATTAAATATGAGTAGAGATTACTTACTTTGCATTATAACATTAAACGCTGACATATCGCTCTTTCATGCAAGTTTAATTAAACCTAGACATATTTTAATCTACATAAGTATACATTTTATGATATTCATAGTACGTAAGCTTTGGACTTCGTACTGGTGTTTAATTACTTGAAAAGCCATAGGTATTTAGGTATTTTTGTTACTTTAACCTATACTTCTAAACTACTTTGTGGCGTAGGATGTCAACAATCACAGCATACTTACATGCTTTAGGCTGTATACTTTCACGCTATTAAACTTAGAGGGTAAATAAATCGGAAAAAACCTTCATGTGGGAAGGGACCATAAGCCACAAGCTGTCAACATCGAGATAGCAAGGTTGCCATGGTTGTGATTCGATCATTTGAATTTTGATACTTGCAATTGAAAATTTCGCAAACGTTAAAAATTAAATAAAGTTTTTATAATTCCATGCGAATGAAGCCGCATGGGTAAAGCTATTTTAAATTATAAATGCGAAAGTTTGTATGGATGGATGGATATTTGTTACTATATCATTGCAAGACCGCTTAACAGATCCAATGATATTTGGCACAGATGCCATGACTTAACATACGAAGTTATTTTATGCCTCGCGCTGGAAGTCGCCAGCAAGTTATTATCTACTTTGCAATTTATTAAATCTACATTTTTCCTAACAGATTATGTTAGTAATTGAATATTATTCTTACTTAATAAAGCATAGTTTTAATTCAATAGCGTTTCCTTTGTTCAGTTCCCGGTTCCTCGATTCAATAATTTTGAAACGTCCGTGGCCCGGATACGGCATTTTATTGGCAAGCTAAGAGGGCCACTTTGAGAGTTACTTCCACGTTTAACATAATAATAGCTGGATGTGGAGAATGGAAAACGTTCAGAACGTTTTACATAATTTTTAAAGTTGTACTTATAAGAAGGCATTTTTAATTTCATATTATTTAAAGACTTTTAGCCAGTTAAATTAAGGAATTTAGAAACTAATGAACTAAATAGATTTTATGCAATCAATGAAGTAGAAATCTTACTAATATAACTGCTAAAATTTAGATACATGGATGTTTGCAAGTTTGTAGCCTAAACTGCTGAACAGATCTCGATGAAATTTGACATCATCATCATCATCATAATCACCAGCTCACTATATGTCCCCACCGAGGGGCTCGGAGCCTACCCTAATCAGGGGTGACTAGGCCGTAGTCAACCACGCTGGCCCACTGCGGGTTGGTTGACTTCACACATATCTTTGAATTTCTTCGCCGATATGTGCAGGTTGCATCACGATGTTTTCCTTCACCGTAAGAACGTTGGGTATATTATGTACGTATGAAAATTCGAAAAATCGAAAATCACATTGGTACATGGCGTCGGGATTCGAACCCAAGACCTGTAGATTACAAGTCAAGTGCTTAAACCACTGAGCCACCGACGCTCAAATTTGACATAGATGTAGAGAACTAGAAGAACACATAAGCAACTTGCTTTTGTTTTTTAATTACATGAAGACGAAGCGAGCAAAATCTATTAAATAAAATGTAATGTACCTAGAGTCTATATTATGTTTATGCATATGCCATTTAGTTCTATAAAATCTAGAATTTTAAGGTAACATATCTAGATGAAATCACGTCCACACTGTAATTATTATAGCAGGTCTAACTTTACGTGAGAAGCGTCTCTAGCAACGAGATAGCCGAAACCTCGTTACAATGCCCCTCTTAACTAAAATTGAAGCGAAAATTTAACGAGTTTTGCGCATGATGAGAAATTTCGTTTCATTGGTTTGATTACATTCTTGTTACTTTTAAAGTGTTAAAATAATTCTTAATAGTTACTAACACTTGCTTCATTTATTCCGGTCGACGATATGCTAATTGTATTTGTCACAAGCCAGTAATGAACGCGCAGAACAATTTAACAAGTCCGTCATAAATGCACGTGTTTGAATTTACTGCTGTTTAACTACAATATACTCATAAGAATATGATTTTTATACAATAAACTGAGTCTGCAAAGACGTTTTACTGCTACACGAATTGCTCATTTGACCAAGCATAGAAGACATCCGTGAATTTTTAGTCCTCATCCCTCCCCCACGCTTTTAATAAGGATTGGATGCGAAGGGGAAGAAGCATTTAAAGGATAAATATCCTATTTCTGTGAAACCCCTTCTCTGTCTAATAATGGTCGGTCATATTAACTTGTTGCAGAACGCTTTACTGTATTATCGAATAGACGGTTGCATTTTAGTCATCTTACTGAATTAAAATTCACAACTGTTACGAAGTAATAGAAACGGAAGTAGTAGTGGGGGTAGTTTCATAAAAGCCTTTGCAAGGAGTGAGTCAGCTCAGTACTCAGTTGCTAATCAGCTCACTAGCCGTCAGTACCTGGTTCTTCCGTCGCTCAGGAGCTCAGTAGCTCAGTACATTTCTAGTCGTCACCACGGAACGTCCGAGATCTATTACGTAGTTGCCTTCGTTTTTTTTTTATATAACACAAGGTGGCAAACGAGCAAGCGGCCACCTGAAACCGCCAAAATGGCGAAGCGACCGCTGCCCATAGACATCCGCAATTGCAGATGCGTTGCCTACCCTTATACGACGGAGGAGGAGACGCACAAAAAGAGAATATTTCCCCTTCCTATAATAAAATAATTCACCAGTATTGCTCATAATACCGCTCGATTGTCATATTTTTTTTAAATTGATTTCTATCGAAATTTATAACACTACCTTTTTGACGTAGCTGGTTCTTGCGTTTTATACAATTATTTTATACATCTATATTTCGAACAAAAACATTCCCATACTTACGTGTTTCAAACACCGAGATTATAGTACATATGTTTTGCAAACAAACATGCCGCGCACACAATGGACATTCGGATATATACGGAATCCTCATGCCACATACATGTATAGATAATGGATGGATATGGATATGATGAAGTGGGAAATTACTGAAAATAAAGTTAGACACGCCTTGATTTCTCCGATTTACTGGAGTTTGTTTCTCTTGTTTTAATTTACATATACACACGATTACAAGCTAACAGCACATTTGTGTATTAATTATTTTGAAGTCGACAGTGCCCACTTAAGGGTAGGGCGGGATGGTCGTCCGCCCTGGGCGACGGATATAAAGAGGCGCCACAGACACATTGAAGGGCGTCACTAGCGTCTTTCTTAAGGGTTTGTATTGCAGTTAAAGGGCGTAGTAATAATCTCGCCCAGGGCGCCGAAAATGGTAAAATTGAATGTGTGTGTTGGTCTTACATTGGTATAGGGTCATAGTGATATGTTTGTAATTAAATTAATTTATTGTTGTCCAAATTAAAATGTCAATTAGACCAAACACGAACATCGAAACCAATTAATTTGTGTTAATTATATTCGGCCGATATAAAGAAATATATGACAAATGGTAATAATTTCACACAACGTCAAAATTCGTAAACCCAATAACGTAAATGAAACCGTATACGTATTACCAAATTCTAACTAATAATAAACATTCAACCGTATTACTTTTAAAATAAAAGCGAGTTTTCAATGACAATTTCTTAATAACTGAAAGGATAAATAATTTTCCCTAAAAATAAGAAAGCTTTCATCTCTTTTATAGAAAAACGTATTTTTCTAATCTCGGTTATTAATTTTTTTAATGGAAATTAACCTTTTTAACGGGATAGCACGTTTTAAGAAAATTGATTCGCATTTCCTTATAAAAAAATTAAGGTTGTTTTGAATGATAATGGCTAGTATTTTTTTTTTTAGAAAACACTTTCTTGAAGTAACATAATTTGAAGCTCAAACAACTCTCCCGACTCATAAAAATAACATTTATTACTATTACACCCAGAAACATGAATATGTGAACAATAAGTGCCTGTCCCACCAGTGTCTGATAGTGGCTCAGATAGCTTAAACTGACCTCACTGTCAGATAAGGCAACAAAATCCGATATATCCATCACATATTTTACACGTTGGATTTATCAGGCAAATTACAATTTAGTAGGACAGACCTTAAACCTACTAAATTTGAATCTAGGACAAATAAAATCACTCCAAACACTAAATTTCCCACTAAAATCTATATAACATCAAGAATCCAAATTTTTATAACACACAAATATGGGGATAACAAGCATGCTTGCATTTCATACAAACATCAATGGCTCTTGTATGGAAAACAAAAAGGGGAGGGGAACTCATCAAAACAATTCACACAGTCGTTAAAGGTAAGGTTTGATAAAGCATGCGTCACATCACAAAGCGAGGCGATAACGAAGCTCATTTTAGTGACGAATTGATATTGTATGTAACGCATGCTTAATTAACACACGAGGGTATTGGGGATAAAAACAATGGAAATAATCACGAATTATGATGATGATGATGGTGATGATGGGAATGCAGACCATGCTCAACACGAGCTACTGACTTTCTTTTTGTCATCGACCGGTATTGACAACGACAGCATCGCCAGCCCCACTTTTTTGAGACCACTTTGGACGCCCTGTTGAAAATAATCAAATTTAAGTACATATAGAATTACATTTAAAACAATCGTCGATAAAACAGTAATTAATAATTTATTAAGGGAAATATCAGTAGGTTAATATGAAACTAAGAGGAGGAGGGAGGGTTACTATTTACAGATTCGTGTTAAGAGTTAACTTTTATACTCTGAATAAAATATATTCAATTAAGTTTTTTTTCTTGATTGACATAGATTAAGATTAATGCCACTAAACACAGACATTTTTAGGTCAATGTGATAGATAACTCTAACAGGTCGTGTACATACTGTAAAAAAAACCTTATTCACTTAAAAGAAACAATTTGAAATTACATGATAGACGAGCTGTCGCCTGCAAACTTCGTTAGCGCAAATTTAGACCACCCGTTACGCCATTTTGACATTTGAATTAAAAAAGTAGCGTATAATATGTATATTCATGTCAGTTACCCTCCAGTGAATGTCCCGTCGAAATCGGCCCAGCCGTTTCGGAGAATACCCGAAACAAACGCGGCTTGCGGACAGACAGACAGACAAAAATTATTAAAATGCGGTTTTCATTATCAGCATTGCAAACATATCATCTTCCCGATATCTGGAAATTTTCTTTTGATATTACAAAACAAACATACATTCCAATTTTATTATATGTAAGATATAGATAGAAGATAGATATGAAATTATATAACTAAGCTTATTGCAATTTCGATGTGGCAATCAGAAGGTCCATTAATGTCGAATCCCGCAGATAACCGGAGGCAAACGCCCTATTAAGTTCGTCATTAGAGACTTTACTCCATTGTTTAACTTTGATCATTGAGACAGAAATACCCAGAGACGTAATAACTTATCTGCGACAAGTTGTATCATACTCTCTGATATTACTATTATTCTACATTTATGGTCTTACGATAGTTGTATATTTATATTCTATGTTTTCTACTATTCTAACACTTAAGGTACAAAGGCATGCAGCCTTTAAATATATTTTCATACTAATATTATAAATGCGAAAGTTTAGACGAATCATTCCGTCTGCGTGGAATTAAAAAAAAAGTAAGTAGCCTATATGTTCTTCCAGGCTATCCTCTACATCTATACCAAATCTCATTGAAATAAGTTAACCCGTTTAGGCTACAAACTCTAACAAACATCCATCCATCTAAACTTTCGTATTGATAATATTACTAGCTGTTGCCCGCGACTCCGTCCGCGTGGTATTAAAAATAATAAAAGTGAGTAGCCTATGTGTTCTTCCAGATTATCCTCTACGTCTATGCCAAATTTCATCGAAATCCATTCAGCCGTTTAGGCTACAAACTCTAACAAACATCCATCCATCTAATCTTTCGTATTTATAATATTAGTAGTTGTTGCCCGCAACTCCGTCCGCGTGGTATTAAAAAAATGAAAGTTAGTAGCCTATGTGTTCTTCCAGATTATCCTCTACGTCTATGCCAAATTTCACGGAAATCCGTTCAGCCGTTTAGGCTACAAACTCTAACAAACATCCATCCAAACTTTCATATTAGTCTTATATAGAAAGGACAGCGTTGTTGATACAGATATAGTACGTGGAATGGAGATATAGTATCGTGGCCACCCACGGCATAAACAGCGCGTGCTACACCCACCTGTCCCTACACACCTGTATAAACTTTATTTATAGGGTTGTCAACTACTAGTAATTTAAAAAAAATCTAAATTAATCAACCATTAATATAAGACGAATAGGACGCTTGTGTCAGTCGTACAAAATGGTACTTTATAGAACAAAAACTGAAAGACAAAGAACACATTTTAAAACAATCCCAAAAGACCCATAAAACATATTAAAAGACATTTATGTTAACCCTTTAAAAATAACATTCTTAACTGTATTAGTTTTTATATCAAATACTAGATGTTCAAATCTTTCCTCTTTGTTATCACACTAATATTATATATATATATATATATA